GATTGGGCAGAAAAATTGAGTTCTAAATTTCGCGAAAAATGAAAATCTACATATTTTTATTTTAATAATTCATGCACTGTAAAAATCTTATAGAGCAATAGCAACTTTAAATAAATATATAATCTATTTGAACAATAACAAAATTAAACTAAAAAGGGGCATTTACGCCAGAACATCTTAGAACATCTCAGGTAATGATACATGTACACGAGACGCAATATTATTGCATTAAAAGTTAGTCCCGTGCAAGATGGAGCGCGGGGCAAAACAAATGGATAGCAACAAAGTTGTGAATTTTTAAGGTCATTCGAAAACCTGCAACATGTTACCGCAACAAAAATATCGCGGTTAAAAGTCGTAACCGCGCGCCATGTTACACGGGAACAGTTTTTCGCCCAACAATGTTGCAATCGTCGTTGCAAATCATCTAGTGTATCACTACCATTAAATTTCTCCATCTTTTTTAAATCGCTAAATTATTGTATAAATACGAGCTTATGACCCGTGTAACGAGTAATAATCGGAGTCTGAATTGAAGGATCAGAAAGATTTCTCACGATTACGATAACACTTATGATCAATTGTGTTCCGAATAGGGTTCGGAAAATTTGACAGTGACAACGCTCATTCCCAGGCCATCCTGAGCAGAAAAAAATTGCGGCCTTCTTGAAAACTCGCTGGAAAACCATCGTCGCTATGGCAATATCGATCGGTCACACCAGCGAAAAACGAATATTTTTGCAAACCTTTCACCCTTGACTAATTTGGTTCTAAAGATATAATCAATTAAGCCATAGTAGGAAACTAGCAGCCGATTGTCAAAAGAAGCTTAAGTTTGCGCTAGAAATACAACTACTATTAGCTACCTTACATTTTTTATAATCGGATTATGTTTCAACAGCTGCCAATTGTTTAAATTTCTTGTGACAAATCACGTAATATAAATGTTTAATTTATAGCATTTCGGCATTTTATGCTGAAGAAGGTCTGAGATCGGACTGAAAAGCTCGGTGCAACTTTAAAAATAAAGAAAAATAAGCCAGTGTCGACTAATCTAATTCAAATGAATATAACTCTGTATTTTGTGCTTTATCCCCCTTTTGAATCTAATAGAAATAACTATTTTTAAGAGGTTCATCACACTTTAGATAAAAAATATATATACATTCGTGGATCTTAAATAGACTAGTCTTTTTAAGATCCTTGAAGCATTTGAATTTTGAGCATTTAACTTTTCGAATATGAAATATTAATCCATTAAAGTGAATTTACTTAAATGAGTAAATGAATAGTCAACGTAATACATAGTACGTACACACTAATTCCTTTGTTTTCTTTTGTTTTACTTGGACGTAGGCAATGATTTATCTTTGAATCGAAAATCACAGGGGAGAAAAAGAAACTCGGGAATCAGAGACGATAATTCTCATTTCTAGGAGTAACCTGAGGGAGTGGCAGACAATTTGACTCTTATTTTTCATAATAGGTAAGATGATTACTATTTGATATTATTATTGGTAATTAAATTACTTTATCGCTATGATATAACGATAAATTTAGAAGTAATTGAAATCTTTTTATGACGACAATTATAAGGAGAAGCCATATGTCGTTTGAGACAACTTTATACGTACTTCCTTCACTAAGAAATCTCGAGTGAAAAATATATCTACAGATATTCATATTGCATATTACAAATACTGCAATAATATAAAACCTTTCTGTAAAAATACTAAACGAAATCACAAAGATTTACGTGAACGCTACCTGACAACTCCTACAAGCTAACAGCGCAAGTACGAAAATTGTAATGGCTCTATGTACTAAAAATGAAGCGGAATTCATCAAAAAAAATTATGTTTACAAAGATATACGATATGTCGAATCAAACCACTGATAACTTGAAACAACCCGAAAATTTCAGATTGTGAAGAAAGATATATTTCGGCTTAGCGCAAAGTACGAAATCGTTTTGTCGCAGTTGGTTCCTATAAGTTCGCCGGCGCTAATTGAATGTGCGCCATTGAATATAGTTCACATAATTCAAGTCTTTTCTTGGGGGCCTCAGTTCTTCATAAGCATATTTTTTTTCTAGTATCAAACATTCTCTAGAACACGTAGGGGCATATAGTCTTTTAGATAAATGTTTGGTTGAAGTCCAAGATTGCTAAATCTATTCATTGCATGGGTAAATACGTTTTGAAGTTCCTGTTGTAATCAACATCCTATTGATATACCTACTCAAAGATTACTGTAATGATCTTAGTAATTACTAAGACACTGAAGGTAAATATCATATTAAGGTAAAGACGCTTGCCGGATTTATAGCCTCATGACGTGGCGAGACATCCGGAAATAAAGAAAAGAAAAGAAAATAAGAAGAGAAAAGAAAAGGAAAGAAAAGGAAAGGAAAGGAAAGGAAAGGAAAGGAAAGGAAAGGAAAG